GAGAGGTCTATTAACACATAGTGAGTGAGAAAGGTGACTGAAGAAGAAATACTGGTAATGGTTAGCGAAAAAAACAGGTGAAAACCAAGTATACTGTATGCATACAGTAGCACCGATCTTAGCTAAAGCTACCCTTTACTTATTTATTTATTTATTTTGCTGTATTTAAGAAGACTTAACACCAGTGAATGAGACCATAAAGTCACCAGAAAATGTTTTCTGAGCTGATAAGTCAAGTGGGTCATCGGGTAATTTTCTCATGGGCATCTTATATACACTCAGATATTCTTCTTTTTAAAATTATTTCAACATTATTAAAGCAGCGTGGGATCATCTTGACAGAGAAAAGGCACAAAAGGCAGCCAACATCCAAAGAAGAGCTTTGAATGTCCTTCAAGAAGCCCGGGGAACTATTCCTGAAGACTTTTTAAAGAAATGTCAAGAAAGGTTGTCTAAGAGAGTTCATGCTGTGATGAAGAATAAAGGTGGTCACATACAGATCTTCAAGCTCGTTAGATGTGCGCAAACTCTGTTTTTGCCTTATATGCTCTGTTTAATTTATATTTGCACCTGTTTCCTATTTTACTAGTAAAACATCCAGAAATTAGGGGTTCAAGACTGGTTGGTTTGGGGTTTTTTCATGATTTATAAAGACTTAGTAGTAATTTGGTAGTAATTAGTTCCACCTCTTCATAATGCATTCCACCAAGTCACTGCTTAGTCCTGTGAATCTGGCCCGATTAGGCAGGAGATAAAATTAGAAGTCAGATTTTAAACAAACCCCTGGCTTTGCCAAACATTTAGGAAGAGAAAAACATACAAATTGTAAAATAATTACCCAAATCCTAAACTGTTGGCTTGTTTACTCCCCATCCTATTGTCTCGCCATTTTTTTGGCCTGTCAGAGTAATTATTTTTTGTGAGGATAATGTTATCCTGACAGAGAAGTTATGGAAATAGTTTAGCATTTGTAATAATCCAAAATTATCCATTAATCATGACAGAATGCTTAAAACCCAGGCTCTAGGCCTCACACTGCATTTAGATGAAGTGACGGCCAAAAATTGTTTCCTCTCTTTGCAGAAATGTCTGTGTGGCCAAGGTTCATTATTCACAAGATAAAAGTAGGAGAGCATTCAGAGAGCATCTTCACATGTGCACACAAACACACTAGCAAACACACAAACAAGCAAGTTCCACAAAAAGCTGGCACAAAAAGACTTTATTTTTCTGTTCAGTCATCTCTGAGGCAGTGGGGTGACCTTCTCTCCTCTGATAGATCACACTCACCTCACCTGAGGGCTTTGTTCTGTCATACCACCTGAGGTCTGCGTAGGGGCTATGTGTGTGCATGCGTGCCACAAAAGATGTCACAAAGGTTTCACTGAAGTTCTTCTTCTTGTGTCCTTTAAAAGAGTCTTCAAGTGCAGTCTTTCTCCTTGCTATGGCGAAAGTGTTCTTTCAAGGTCAGATAACAAAAGAAAATCCGAAAGAAGAAAGGGACTTTTTTTTGTAGGAGGGGAACGAGGGAAGACATGATTATAGGAATAAAAAAGGGGGAGAAAGAAGAGGAATATTGGAGTGGTAGTGGAAAATAAAAGATAAGACAAGAAATAGGAAAAGCAGCTGTGGTAGGGGGAGCAGCGAAAGAGTGAGCGGGTGAGCAGGTGCAGTGATAGCAGAGGATAATGGGTAATATGAGCAAAGGGATGATGGTTCAAATCCCCCTTTTATCCTCTCTCTGAGCTCTGACCCTACCTGGACAATGAGGACAGCAAAAGGGGGACGGCAGTGATCCTCTCCAGCCATTAAGGGCAGAAACGACGCAAATTATAAGTGGGGTGAACAGAGGAGAAGCGAAGCCACAGAAGAAGGAAAAAAACAGGGCGGAGAAGGTGGAGGTTAAAAAGACTGGAACAGCACTGAATTGGAGACACAATCAGTTCAAGGATGTTAAAACCCATATGGCAGGAAGGGTTCATCGGAAAGTAAATTGGACAGAAGCTTGCACATATGCGACCCTGTCATCCAGACGGTGATTAGGTTATAGTTTGGTGTGTTTGCACTCAAGCAGAGCTTGTTTTAACCACTTACCTTATAAAGCGTCTTTCTGTGTGTGCTGACTTTTCTTTTTTCACCCCTTTTTCTCATCTTCAGGCATTTTTTGTTCAAGACGTCGTCAGGGACCACCCCTCTCTTCAGTAGCTCCTCCCCCGGATACCCCCTGACCTCGGGAACAGTGTATTCTCCACCGCCTCGCCTGCTACCCAGAAACACTTTCTCTCGCTCAGCCTTCAAACTAAAGAAGCCGTCCAAGTACTGCAGCTGGAAATGTGCTGCGGTGACAGCCATCGCAGCCGCTGCCTTGCTGGCCATCCTGCTGTCTTACTTCATTGGTAAGTGAAAGCATTTTTATGAAAAGGGTTAACCAGATTTTATTTTATTTTTTGTCTATATATACACCCCTGAACAAATACAAGCTCAGTCGACACACTGTGTCGCATTGACCTAAAATGCATAAACCTCCCACACCTCCACGACAAAGTGTCAAGTTAGTAGCCCTGCCTTTAACACACAAAGCAGATTCAGAAGGTGTGAGCTTTGTCACTTCAGTCGACTGCTGCACTGTCAAAATCGACCGCAGCTGGAGCCTTGGCCTCCAGTCAGCATCAGTGCACAGGCAGTTAGAGGGGCAGAAAGATACACAAACCGCAGCATACTGCGGCTGTTTCTGCAAGCAGGTATCAGTCAAGGTAGGAATCCTAACAGATCCAGCAGGAAAGTGGATGTTTTTCACTGATCTGAAGCCAACGTGCGATAGTCATACTTTAAGGAATGGCAGATACTCAGAGGAGAGCACTTACCCAGCACATCAGGAAGAGATTCTGATGGGCTGTCTACCGGCGAATCTGTGTGAAGAGAAGGGAGGAAAAAAAATACAAAACATTGCTTAGAGTGTGTGTGGGAGTGTGTGTGTGGGCGTGGATTTTATTCCTTCTTGACCTCATTCACTGGACAAAAGAATGCAGACCTGTGTGTGTGTGTGTGTTTGAGGGAAAGAGGAAGACAATAGAAGGAGGAGGAACAGAAAAGGAGGAAATGTAATTATGTATGAATGTGCATGTTTGTGTGTTTGTCTATTTCACTGTGTTAGTGTGTGTGCAAGAAGGCAGATGTGCCACTGAGCCCCTGATTGGCCTTTTACCCGAGAGACCAGAGTCAACAGATGGGGGGAAGAGTGGCATCAGCAGAAATAACAACCCTCTCTACATATATTATTAAGATCATTTTTTTCTTTATTTATAAATATATTTATCCAAACGTGACCACATCGATCTAACCGTCCATAGTGAGTTTGTGATATATGCACCCATATGTGTGTCGTATGCATCCCGACCTACCGAATTTCATGCATGTGCACTCCAATCTGTGCATGTGTCAGTATTTGTGTGATTTGTGTAACCCCCGTGGAGTGCCCTTGACAGTAGTGGTGTGTGTCCTCCAGAGCAGATCAAGGCCTCTTGCCGAGGGCACACAGTAAGATCCATTCTCTCCTGAGCTTTACACGGTCACACTGCAGTAGACAGCCACATATGGAGCCACAAAACAAAAGCCGGGAGAGGGACGAAGGACGGCAACCGCTGCCCTCATACCCCCTAACCCCCCCGAAATCCTCTCCATATGTACTCAAGGGCACTGGAGCGCAGAAAGAACCAAAGACCTCCCGTTATTCATCTTTTACTCAAAGCGCAGAGCTCACCTGGGGCTTTAATGACACAAATATTTGTTTTCTTCAGAACATATAATTGTTAAATGAACATCTAATTGGGGAAATAAATCAAAACACATTTGTTTCAAAGACAAATTTTTGCTTCTACCTTTCTTTTTTTCATACCACTCCATCAGTAATTTTTGGGTACCTGCAGACACATAAAGCTTGCTAACAACAGCCTGTCTTAATAATAGGTACTTTTAGATTTGTTAGCTATATTATAAAAGATTTTTCTTTTTTATTATTGGTGTATTTACAGCACAAAAGAGCAAGCTATCCAGATACCCTGTCAGTATACTGTATAATATTGCATTTTTAATGGAATTGCATGATTAAGGGGAAATAGAGTGTAATATTTTTCCCTCTAAGCCCCACTTTCTGTATATTTTTCAGTTTTATTATATGCCAAATAGTGTGTGTGTGTATGCTTCACCACCAAACTTAATTGTCCAACTGGCTATAATTCAGTAAGCTGAAACAAAGCTGAAATGAATACTTTATTGTTATTATTACTATTGCTAACTGTGGCCCCTTTTCAGCTGTTGTAAGGAAATGTTTTTGCTCCGGTGTTTTTTCTACGCTGAACAAAGCTGTAGCAGTGCTGCCAAGCCTGAAACCCTTGTGTTTACCATGCTTTTTGTAGCGTTAATCGTGCAGCGAGTTCACTACTCATAAGGGGGATTTTGTACTACCTTGTTTGTGTGTTATGTGTGCGTGGGGCCCAGCGCTCACTGTGGGGATTGTGCAGAGCACCCAGAGCCATGCAGCGTGAAGAGGACCCCTCTGAGGCGTCCGCCCAGGAGCCCACTCATAAATTACACCAGGACACATGTGCCTGAACAGCACTTTTTCATTTTTTGTGCTGGTTGGCGTGTGTGTGTGTGTGTGAGAGAACTCCTAACTTCTCCGTGTGTGTCTGAGAGTGTGCTGGCCTTCAAATGATTTGCCTTTCCTTCTTTTTTCTTTATTCAGACTTCACATGAATATTAAGAAGAAAAAAATTGCTTGACAATCTTCCAGAAACTCAGGCTCGCGCATGTGTGTGCCAATTGAGGACGACGTCTTCAGAAAAAACATGACTTTGCATGTTTCAGGAGCACAGCTGACTCGCTGTATCTCTGTGAAGCTTATTTACTGTGTCCTACTGTTAGAATGAAGTCTTGGGGATGAGGTAAACATACACACGTAGCATGCAAAAAAGCGTTTGGAGCTGCGAGTCGTTATTTGTGTCTGTGTGAGTTCGAGGGAGTTTATTTATAAGGGAGGACAGAAAGCGTTTTTTTTCCCCCTCTTCAAACTCCAGCGGAGTATGGCCTCCTCTTTATGTGTGAAGGAATGACTGAACGGATGGAGGGAGGAGGATAAACGAGAGTGCTTGTTCTTCATTCCCCCGGCGTCTTGTTTGCTTGCTCCGCATGGAGCACCTGAGCCAAAGGAGAGGTGGTTGCTAGGATACAGGTGAGCGGTTGGCATACAGGAGAGAAGACAGGTCCATCATTGTGAATGGCAACCTGGAGAGAACGAGATAGAGAAGGGTGAGAGAAGAAGAAAAAAAAGGAACGGGGTGGAATGGAGTTGGTGCACAGGGGGCAGAGGGGAACATAACGGGGAAAGAAAAAGGAGGGATAGATCAGTGGAGAGACAGAGGAGAGGAGGGCTGATATGTCACTGTCAGCACTGTAAGGTGTGAGATTGGTTGATGGGGGGGCGCGGGTGAGGTTGTTTGTGCTGCTGAGGAAAGTAGAGGAGATGAGGAGGAGGAGGAGTGACAAGACAGCCAGGTGTGGAGAGAAGAAACTGAAGGGAGGCAGAAGGGGGAGAGATGAAGGAGAGCGTGGCCTCCTGAGGGCTCTGTCACCTGGAATATCTGCGGGACTAATGTCTCCTAATTGATCACAGCGAGCAGAGAACAGAGGGAGTGTGACAGAGGACAGAGAGAGGCTGTGAAGGACAAGGGGTGACGAAAAAGAGAAGTTAGAGAGGATTAAAAAAAGAGAACAGGGATGTAAACCTCTGAGAGCAAAAACATATCCAGCAAGGGGGGTAAAACAGATAGAAATGCGCTGTAGTGAGGAATGAGAGGAGAGCCTGGCTTGATGGATGAGAAATCGAGGTCGTGTCAAACTGCTTGCGCCCAGGTGGACTGTTTTCATACACACATGCACAGGTGTGCCCTTGACTGCAATGAGTAAACTTGCTAGCGGGCGCTTGTGTCACCTTTGCAGGGGTGTTTGGCGCCGATGTGTGCGCGTGTGCATCTGCGGAATTTGTCAGGCGACGTGGCATAATCCACATGGTATTGTCACCACTAATGAGTAAGAGCGCACATACGCACGCACAGGCGCGCGCACACACACGATGTATTTTTAGTCTTACTCTCAGCTCCCCTGTCTGTTGATTCAACAGAACCACACTCCACACAGACACACACACACACACACACACACAGTGGCACTGTCATCGAGCGTGACCTTCATGCCTCCGAGCCGACCACTTTCCATCCATCACCGCTGTCTTCCTGTTCCAGAGTGATCACAATCGCTTACTGCCCATTCTTCCCGATTACAAGTGTCTCACTACAGTGCATTCATATCACTGCTCCCTTACATAATCACATGTTAATGATTTTACTGTTCTGCCAATTGAACAGTTTCTGGACTAGAAATACAACATTAGTTCTTCGTCCCTTTCCTTATCAATCATCTTTAGAGCCTTTATATTAATTTTAAGCTCCCAGCCTTGTGTGGATGGGAGGTACTACTGTACTACTCTTCTGAGAAAGAAAAAAAAGATTTAAAAAAGTACCTAATTACACTTTTTGATATACATGATATACAAAAGTCTACTCTTAACAGGCTAAATGATTGATGTTTTAAAAAGTATTCATTATGTCATATTAAAAATAAGCAAAAATCGTAAAAGCATACAAGAAAAGGAGCAATTTTTTCCTAACTTGATCGTCCTTTAGGCAAGAACAACTTCTATAGTGCATGCTTTTTCTCCCAAGTAGTTATATGCCAAAGTTTGTATTTATTTGAATAAGACTGCTTCTTTATGAGTAAGTATAAAAGCAAGTCAAGACAGTCAAGTGGATAGTTGTGTTGGCCATGCAGGTCTCGCAATGTGGCTGCTTTCCAAACGCACCTCCTTGACCCCAAAGTCCCCTCTCACATTGCATGTGGCTTCCCTTCTGCTGATCTGAGGTGGAACAGCTAGAGGTCAGGATGTGTCACTCATGCCAGCGTAGGCATCCGTGTGTGCATTTTTTGTGTGTGTGTGCGGAGGTGAAGTTGCAATTGGGCATATGGTGAATGCAGGAACCTGGGCATAAGGATCAGACGTGGAGCGTGTGTCCGCAGCAGCAGGGCCTGTCGGACTGATAAAGGTTAGGATCTTACCACACGTTGCCAGTCCAGAAAATGGGCAGGGCATGGCCAGGACCAGGCACAAGGTGCTGTACCATCTGCACCAGAGGGATACATGGGTCAATGCACTGGTAAAGGTAATGCAAAGCAGGGAGCAGGAGTTGTTTAAGTGGTGACATCAATGTTCTTCCTTTGACTTGAGCTTCGGTACATGCTTTGAAGGAAATAATACCCATGTGTGCATGAACCGAGGATTTGCATCCTCAGTGATGTCACTGCTGAGCGATGTTCATACCGTCTCGTGCATTAGTGTGCACGAGCTCATTTCATTCATTTATTTCCTCATTCATTTATTCATTAGTGCGGGTCTTATCGGGGCCTCAATCGTTAGTCCAATTAGGCCTATGGTGCTTCACTGGTACTGTGTTGGAAACAGGAGATGGATGAAGGCAAAGCGAAAAGAAATTGCTGTCCTCCCTTTTTTTTATCCTCTCGCTCCGTCTCTCATTTTCTTTCGGTTTCTCCGTCTCTTGGCCTCCACAGCGAACTCTTTTCTCTGTCTTTCGTCCTCACTCATTCTCTCCCACTCTCTGATCTGTGATAAGATAGCATAGTTCCTCATATCCTGTTTCTAATACAGATCGATGAGAGGGAAAGGAGCGAGGTAGGAAGGGAGGGATGAGACGAGGCAGAGTGGGTTGATGTTGCTGGGGGGAGTAAAGCGGCGAGGAAAGGAAAGGAAAGGAAAGGAAAGGAAAGGAAAGGAGAGGAGAGGGGTCAGGGTAGAGATATCTGAAGAGGAAATGAGGATTCAGAAAGGAGGACATCACTCAGATTCACATCTCTTTTCATTTAACCAATCACACACGTGCACGCACACGCGCACCCACACGCGCGCCGGGCGGCTTCGTCTGCGCCGGGCCGTCTCAATATTTCGGTGCCAATAAAGAAACCATTTTCAGCTGTGTGATTGAGTGAGTTGCCGTTTCTCTCGGCTAGACACAGCCGTGCAGGTAGGAGCTGCCAGCAACTCGCATAACCTTTTGTGTTGCAGTCAATTACAGTTCAGTTGCATCAGCTGGGTGAGGAGGTCCCGTCGGGGGTTGCAGCGTGCGTGCACGCTTGTTGTTAATACCACGCAATTTTCAGCATGCATACGCAGATACACACTCAGAAGCAGACAAATTGTGTCTCTCAGTGTATATGACCCCCAAGGGCAGCAGCCAACCGCCGCCCCCGTTCCTCTGTCTGAGGCTCTAAATGATCTCAGCAAGCAGCGCCTTCAAAACTTAGCTGAGAGAGAAGGCTGCTTTATTTATAGATTACATAAGTGGATACTGTGTGGTAAATTCTGAGAAAACGTCCCAAATGGCCTGAATATTGAGAACCTGAGGCGGCATGCTGCTCTTTTCCTCAGTCTCTTCAATATTAGCAGCACTGCACCCCTGTGCCGCAGAGGTACAGACGCCTCTTTTTTTCTCAGGTGGCTCCTTTTTTTTGCGTGTGTGTTTTAGGAGTGTGCGAGGTGGGGAAAGCAGGGGGGGTAGAAAGGCTGGGAAAAGGGTTCCTAAACCAATTAAAAGGCAGACCAAGGATGGTGGGGTGAGTTGGGGGGGAGGTGGTCTACAATTACTGCCCTAATTGAGGTCAGAGTTGTTAATTTAGTGGTGAATTAGAACGGTTAATATGCATTTATCGGGATGGCCAGGGGAGAAGGCAAAATGGGGGGAGAAAAAAAAGTGTTGCCGCCGACCAGGGCTTGTGTTCTTTGTGCAATTTTGGTTGCGTTGCGCGCGATTGCATGCGACAACATGCGAGAGGCCGTTCTCCGGCTTCTGAGCAATTAGGAGCATCGCAAATGGTTCACCGGGGATACACTGGCTTTTAAGCAGGCAATGATAAGGTTGAGTTGAGACAGAAAGGGGTGAGAGACGTAAGAGCATAGAGAGAGAAAGAGGGGTGGGGAGAGGATTTGAACATTTGGAACATGTTCCAGAGAACAGAATGATGATGATACAATATTTTCCAGTCAGGGGACACTTGCTGCAAAGTCACCTTTCTCCATCTCTGCCTCGCTCTTTATTTTCCTTCTCTTTCCTTCTCTCATCCAGAAATCCATTTACACCCTTTAACTCTGAGATATATAAATATTTCCCAAAACATGCGCATGTGCGTTGTATTTCTGCCTGATTGCCCGTGTTGTGAACCACTTACTGTCAAAGGATGAATCACCACCATCCTTTTTTCTTTTTTTTTTTTACCCAACCAGTCAATGAATACAGGGCCACTTATCCCTTAAATCTTTTCTTCTCCTCACTTGCCATCTTCTTCCCCCTTCCTCACTTTATCCGTGGGGGCCTTTATTCATCTTTTCCTCCCTTTTTTTTCTGCAACATCATCTGTAGCCTGTTTCTCTGCTCCTCTTTTTTATATTTCCTCAGGGGATTTCATGTGTTCTTTAATATTCTCTCAGTTCTCGCTGTCCTCCAGTATTCTCTCTGTTCCCCCCCTTGCCTCTCCTCCTCTGTGCTGAGGTTTGGCACAATTTCTCTAAGAGCTCCTGACCGCTGCCCCCTCTCCCAGCCCGGCCACCACCTCTCCCTTTTCATCTCTCTTGTTTCTCCGTCCATCATCCTCCATCCTTTTTTTTTTGTCATCACAGGATCACGTTTTGTTTTCTTCAGACGCTGTTTTTTGCAGATGATACTGGCAAGCACTTTGCCTGTCTGAATTATGCATCGAGATTACATAAAAACCTCACGGAGCAACTGATCTATTTTTAATCTGACTCGTTTGCTTGTTAAACCTGCTTCTCTGTGATCTTTTCTATGTGTGCGTATATGCAGTGTGTGTGTGTCTGTCAAATTGAACATGAGTGAGAAGACGGAGATTAAAAAGAAAAACAGCCCAAGTCTGACTATCGCTCTTGTTCTTCCCAAGTCTGTCAGTCGGATCTGATTCAGATAGGCTTTATTGGCATGGTATTTAATAAAGCCTTCCAATCCAGTTTGAAAACAGTAATTATGGCAATTATGATCAGAAAAGAAAATGCTTAAAATTATGGCAACACAAAGCTAAATACATCAATTTCAGCAGTTTCATTTCAGCTAAAATTACACCCTAACAAACTTAGAAGTGTTGTTGAAATAAGGGATGGCACTTGTAAAGAGAATGATAACAAGTGTCTCTCTTTGTCTTTCTTTCTTTCTTTTCCACGTCTCTCCTGCTCTGTGTCTTGCTGCAAAAGAATCCTGTTGACAAATTTTTGGCTTTTGCACTTCTGTCGCTAAGGAGTAAGTGTGCCATCTATTGGTCAGCTTTCCACAACCACCCACAGAAGAAGAAGACGAAGAAGGGGGGGAAAAAAACAAGACAGGAAAAACAAATTTGAGAAAAGTGTGCACCAACCCTCACCGACACAATGATGAGACACACACAGTAAGCTAACTATAGGGCTGTCTGCTATGTGTGTTCTTGGGGATGACCTAGATTGAGAGTGCCGTCACAATAGACTCACAATTGCTTACTGTCTCCAGATGGTTCAATAGGCAAGCTTTCAATCGACTGCTCCCTCTGATACCATCTTTGCGTGCACCTGTGTGTGTGTGTGTGTGTGTGGATGCATGTCTGCATTATCTACAAGAAGGGACAGGCAGAGATAAGACGAAACGAAGGAAGAAAAAAGGGGAATTAAAAGGAAAAGTAGGAGAGAAATGAAGGTCAGCCCAATGAAAGAGGAGAGGGCAAGAGTTGGTGTAGCAGGGGAAAGAGAAAGGGGTAGGAGCCCTCTTTTTGCTTCTCCCACTCCATCTCTTGTTTTCTATATCCCCACGCCCCCACCACCACCCTCACACATGAAAAATAAAAAAGAGCTGACAGTGGAGGCCGGGCAGCAGCCAAAGGTGTCAGCGCTTTCTTTTGACCAGGAGCGAGGGAGGGAGGAAAGAGGGGAATAGCAGAAGCATAAAAAGGAAGAAACAAAGAAGCAGGGTGAGAGAAAAAGAGCGACGGGACACTTTAGGGGGTGAGAATGAGTCTGCCCCGGCAGCGAATCCTAAAGGCGCATCCCCTTCCCCCTGCAACTTTTACACTCCCGGCCCCTGTGTGTGCAAACGCTCGGCAAGCAGAGATAGAATTTGACAAGAAGGAAATTGATTCCCGGGTTTCGGATTCAGGTGTTGTGAGGCTTCTGCGGTGGGGATAAGGCCGACGCTGAGAAGCGTGCGATAGCGCCTACGTAATGCATTGGACTCGATCACAGATTCGTGCTGCGTGTATCATCAAAGCTCACATCACAGTATTCACGTATACGCGGGAAAATGCTGGTGCATTCCGCCGTTAACATTAACGTTATCTTCGATATTCAGACGCGAGCAGGCGATTCATCTCCGTTTTTTTCTCCCCACTACAAAGATTCTTTGAAGGCATTAAAGAGATCAAAACAAATCATTTACAACAAACAGAAAACATACCTGTCACCAAATAAATCGCTGAACTTTTGCAGTACAGTCTTTCTGTTTCCTTTTTTTCTTTCAGTTTTTTGGGGGGGGAGGAGGGGGAGTTCTATGGGGAGGAGGAGACGCTTGGCAGCAGGCTAAGGAGGGAAGAGACGTGGGGAGAGTAAAGAGCTGACAAAGTGAAGAGCGAACACACTCGAGCAGCCTTATACCACCAGCACACAATAACACAACAGAGGACAAAAGAAGAGGAGAAGCGAAAGGAGAGCCATAGAGCATTCTCTTCAGAGAGCAATCTGTCACTTGCTCTCTGCGAGACGGTGTAAAGGCTTCCAAATAAAAGCTGAAGATGCTTTCCCCGTGAAAGATGGCTGCGAGAGGTCGGGGGTTAAGAAAGCAAAACAGAGAAGGATTTTTTGGGAAGGTGGTTTAATTGCCTGATTTGTAAGATTTTACCTCTGTTTGTGTGCCTGTTAACTAAACCCGCCACTCTGATGGCCGTGCGTTTGATTCATGACTTAAATATAGAGGTGGCTGATTCTATTGATGCTACGGGATTTGCTGTCTAAATGACAGATCAGATTTAAGAGGGCTGGCCTCATATTTCTTTGTCTTGATGAGCCTTCATCCTGGGCTTTTTATTTATTTATTTATTTATTTATTTATTTCCATCCTCCTTTTCCTCTCCTACATCCTCACTCTTCATCTCTCTGCGTGCAGCAATCAACTTGCTGGGTTTGACGTGGCAGCTGAAGCCATCCGACGGCCCCGTGTTGAACAACGGACTGGGAGCTGGTCTGCCTGTCAACAGCGATGTGGCCACACTGCCCTCTGGAGGGAGAGGTATGAACTGCAACACACACGCACCCCTCCCACACATCTTTGCCTGAAGAAGCAGGCACTTTACATGTTTTAAAAAAAAAAATGAAAAAAGAAACTTAAAGGTTAAGGCTGCTAATGTTCTGCATTTTTTTCCCCTAGCAACAGACCTCGTGAACATAACAAATTCAACAATAAATAGATCCTAACAAGTGCTGTTTGTGCAGCCAAAGCCTACTCGTCTCTTTCTGCCACAGAGCTCCGGTGCTCCTTCATTTTGATGAGGGGGACGCTGGAGTTTATTTTAAATCGCTTCCACCATTTCTTTATACCATTGTGGAGGTATTTCTCTAAAGCAGCATCCTAATTAGCATGCCAATTGCGTAAAATGAATCAACAGAAGTGACTTTAGTATTTTTAATGCATTTGTGAATATTTATGGCTTAACTGGCTTGAGGCTGAATGCACCACTCATTGCAGGAAAGTCAGAAAGTTTTGAAGGACAGACTGCCACATCTCTTGTTGCAAACAAGAAGAATGTCAGCCTTATCTTTTATGGCTTATAAATGCTATATCTGCTGTGTTAAATACTAAAACAGCCCAATAGCTTCTTTTTTTCCCTCCCAACCAGACAGCCTCGCACACATAAATTATTTCTATAATTCATGACGCAGTAGTAGCTGTGCTGTCTGTGTATGCTGCTTAACCACTCTGCTGAGTTGTGTTGAGCTGGGTTTCAGTCAGCAGCGAGGTAAAGCTCCCCTCGCTCACCCCCTCTCTTTAAAGGCCCCCATGCGGTTTTTTCCATCTATTCTTCTTTCGCCTGCTCAATCTCGCTCTGCAACATACACAGCGTGTACTATAGGTATGTGTGGGCCGCTGCTCTGTGTCTGTATTCTGTATTAATGAGAGGACTGCTGTGTGTGTGACTGTCTGGGCCAGATGCCGCTGTTGTTTTTCCACATTGTTACTTTTATTTCTTTGCTATTCTGCGCACAGATGCGCACGCTCACATTGCTGTCTTTTCCCTCTCTGGGCTCCGACACTGTGCTGTTAGATGACTGACCTGATTGCAGGATGTTTCTGTGTGCGGGCCTGTCTGCTTGGAAATCTGTGCTCTGCAGTTCTATCAGCCCTCTATCATTTCAGCCCAGACAACAGAGTCAGCAGTCGTGCAGGCTTTGATACAGAGGCGTCATTTTGCATCCCGCATATCGCGCCTAACAGCGTTCGTTTTAGTATAAACTTTGAACAGTTTGCACAGCTAATGGTGCGTGTCCTCTATACCATTCAATGTTTGTGCCAGGTTATTCCCATTAAAGTGCGATGATTAACTATTGACTGTACCAATCAATGTCTGGAATCACAGATTATGCAGTTTCTTTCCCCTTTGCTCCAGGTCCATGGGCAGGCCGGAACAGCAGTATAGACTCAGGCAGCATTGAGGTTGGGAGGCGGGTGACCCAAGAAGTCCCTCCAGGAGTGTTTTGGAGGTCCCTGCTCCACCTCAGCCAACCACAGTTCCTGAAGTTCAACATCTCCCTCGGCAAAGATGCGCTTTTCGGGGTGTACATCCGCAAGGGCTTGCCTCCTTCGCATGCGCAGGTAAAATCTGTACAAGGACCATCAGCATCTTTGAACTAATGGGGTACTCACAAATTATTATTTCATTCATTATGAAAGCTTCATAATGAAAGAATAATCTTCATATTCATCTGAGTGGAGAGTGTATTTTTAAAAAAGAAAGAAAGAAAGAAATGGGCTTGTTTCTTGGGACATCTTAAAATTCATTTGTGATTCATTGTAATAGTTGTTTGAAAAAACTAATTTAGACTAAGATTTACACTTAATTAAATTTCACAGTAATGTAACTTTTACTGCCTCTTATTAATTAGAAGCTACTCCATTAACAATGGATTCGATTTGTAGGAAGGGATAATTGCATTCAGATAGCTGTTTCACTGCCTGACCTGACTTCAGCTGGGGAAACTGCGCAGTCGGGGCATGTGTAAAAACACTCCCCTGCAATGCACACAGACACCCAAAGAAAACCCTGTGAGGAGCTTTGTGTTCCCTTCCTCATGCTTCACTGTCATTTGCCAGCTATCTTATTTACCAAATTCCTCAAGCATATAAAACCATGCCTCATTTTCTGAAGCCTGAAAAAGTGAACTTGCTCTCACACGTTTTCCTCTGCAGTACGACTATATGGAGCGCCTCGATGGGAAGGAGAAGTGGAGCGTGGTGGAGTCTCCACGGGAGAGGAGGAGTATCCAAACCGTGGTCCTCAATGAGGCGGTGTTTGTCCAGTACCTGGACGCCGGTGCCTGGCACCTGGCCTTCTACAACGACGGTCGGGAGCGAGAGACGGTTTCCTTCAGCACGAATGTCATGGGTGAGACAGAGTCGGCATCTGTCGCTGTGGGCGGAGAGGTGGCAGCGAGGCAGGGAAAAGCAGAACGGCAGTGAAAATGAGATTAGGCACCGGATTTTAGGAGCTGGTTAGAGAGAGGCACGCAGAAACTTTCTCTACCACTGGCGGCAAAGCAAGGCTGCTATTTTAGTCAAATAGATTCCCCATCAGTTACTCTGTGACTTTACACATTCACAACGTGCAAAAATGCTCCCCGGCAGCATGTGAACAATGTTGCCAATGCAACACAACCATAGTAACATTGTCAAGTAGGAAAGACTGCTCAGTGAGTTAAAAATGTACGTTTGCCAAAACATAGTTGGGCACGCTAATATGTCCAACAGTGTGACAAAAAAAACAAAAAAACCCACACACTTACATTAAACAACCTTCATCTTTGAGGTGGGTGAGGACCACAGTGTCACATGGCCCTGTAAACAGAATGATTTTAGGATCGTAACCAGATAATTTCGGTTGCATTCGAGCCAAAGGAGAACAAAAGGACAAAAGGCGGGGTTGGATGGAAAGAGTCAAGCGGAGTGAAAGAATCCTTCACTGTCAATAACGGAGGGGTAGAGCTTTCAGCAGTTGGAGTAGTGGCGAGATGGAGAGGCGGAGGCGGCAGGGGCAGAATGAGAGTGGAGTAGTTAGAGGGGGAGTTGGAAGAAAGGCCTAATGGTAGGGGCAAAGCCAGAATGGGATGAAGTGGAGTGAAGGACGGGAGGAGGAGCTGAAGAGGAGAATGAAAGAGAGGGTGGCATTAGGGTAAAGAGGGAGGCGAGGGGCTTTAGTTTTTTTTTTATTTTGGGGGGGTGCATGGAGTAGGGGAAGTGTTAGGAGAAGCAGTGAGGCTTGGCTGTGTCATTCTTTGTGTAAGAAGAGTGGAAGTTGGAAGAAGCATATAGAACAGAGAGGATAAAAGTCCAAGTGTCCTCCTTGTGATTATGATTAGCACCGACCCCGTTCCTTCCCACCAAACTGTTTCTCATTTCTAGTGAGTAGGTTAGAAGGCAGATGGAGCAGCTCACAGAGTCCAGCTAAAATCTGGCCTAGCTGCACCAAACATCCGCAGCTTGATGAAATATTAGTGACCTCGGTGGGGCCGGACATGAGTGAGGAGTGAGAAAGTGAGCCGTGGATAGAAAAGGGTCGAAGAGAAAGGAGAAGGAGAGTGAAGGGGGATACTCTTATGTTCTATGAGCGGAGCATTGGTGGATCCCATCTCGTCAAAATGGCTGATTCATAATACATTCCTGCCACATTATGAAAAATGCAGACAAAAAAAAGAAACGCATGGAATCTTGGAGGAGGGCGTTTGATGTCTGTGCGACTGTGAGACTCGGCAGCGCTTCGACTCAATTTGTAGTATCTTAAAGAATGAATTGTGCCAATGGTTTAATGGAAGGCTTTGATGCTTGCCGTCACACTGTCTCACCCCTCGCCTCTCCCTCTCTCTGTGTCTCACTTCATCTTCTTCACAGATTCAGTGCAAGAGTGCCCGCGCAATTGCCATGGCAACGGAGAGTGTAATTCTGGTGTGTGCCACTGCTTCCCAGGATTCCATGGCATGGACTGCTCCAAAGGTATTAGCTGTTTACGAATGCGCTTCTTCTGTCGGAGCAAGGATGAAAAGGGAAAAAAAATCTGTCATTTCCGCTGTCTAATTAGATGAGCAGACACATTTCGGCTTCGTGCAAAAATAAAACATAAAAAAAAGGAGAAGAGGATTAAGAGTAGCAAGATGGTGCATGGCCTTAGGTGGAGCTGAGACAAGATGACTGATGATGAATGGCAGCTCCCCTAGCTAACGACTCCCTGGCTCTGTGCTCACCTGGGGTAGACAGCTTTGATGAATAGTTTAGTTACCTCTGCCTGTAATTACTCTTCATGTCATTGGCGCTCTCCAGCCCCTTAACCACTCTATTCAACCCTCCTGCACGATGGGATGCGGATCTGCGTGGGTGGGCGACGTGCACTTTTCGCCGCTTTGGCAATCTTTTAAAAAGCTTGCTAATTTTTTTTTCTTTGTTTGTTTGTTCGGTTTGTTCTTATGCACAGGGTTTAATCTCTCCGTTTCTCTGTTCCTACAGCGGCATGCCCGGTGCTGTGCAGCGGCAACGGCCAGTACGACAAGGGCTCCTGTGTGTGTTACAGCGGCTGGAAAGGACCCGAATGCGACGTCCCTGTCACACAGTGCATAGACCCTCTTTGCAGCGGCCACGGCACCTGCACTGATGGAAACTGCGTGTGCTCCGTCGGTTACAAAGGGCCAAACTGTGCAGAGGGTGAGCGCAGGAGGTGTAATGGTGCATGATTGTTTTTTGAAAGTAAGGCGAAGCACAACAAACTTCACAGATTTACCCCTTCTAACACCAGTGAAGACAGCTTATCATGGCATAATCTTACGCTGACTGAGCGTCCATGTATACAGATGAAGTACGATGGCGCAGCCAAACATATCACAGATTTTATTAAGGGCTGAAATCGCTTCTATTGATCTTTGTTAAGAAGGATCAGCACGCCGCGATCGTAGTCATCAGAAAGCAAGAGAGAAAAAATAAAGGGATAAAAAGATGCTGAGGAGGGAGCTGGAGTCAGGGTGGTGAGAGGTGAATATGTATGAAGAAAGAGAGAATAGGTTGAGAAGAAGGAAAAGAGAAAGCAGCACACCAGGGGTGAAGAAGAAGATCGGCAGAGAGGGAGATGCAAAGGGAAGAATAGAGATGAGTGGCAGAAGGAGTCAAAACATGGGGCCTGAGAACAAGGTCAGCATTTTCTCTCCTCTGCGCTTCATTTTTCTCTCCCACCCCGCCAATCCCCGATCTCCCTCTCATCCAATTTTTCCCCTTCTACTCCAGCCTCAAATCTGATATTCATCACAGCAGAGTCCCTCAAACAATTTACCTGAAGTGCCAGCGACATGAAAATCGATAACTGTGATCCGCCATTTCTGCCAGGCAAACAGAAATGGAGGGTCGAGGTTGTGTGCGAGGGGGCCGCTTTTATTAATACTGCGTGTGCGCCGGGGTCAATCATGCCCGAGGTGGTGGAAAAAGAGGGAGGAGGTGGAGGTGGGGAGAGCGGTGTCACAAAGAAGAGGACAAGATGAGAGAGAAAGAGAGAGAGGAAAATGCGAGTGACCGGGACAGAGCAATGCGAGGAGGCCTGAGAAGGGGCGGGCGAGCGAGTGGGTGGGTGGGATGGGTGTGCGTATTGCCGGGAGGAGGTAATTTGTCAAATTGGTTTTCACTCACTGCTTGGACTCAGAGCTGCCTGTCAACCTGGCAGACTGACAGTGTCAGATTCTCCCCGTGTATTGGCACGATACACGCATACACACAAATCAACCACACACACACTTCCACATCCACACGGGCGAAAAGCTCACACCAAATGATGTGTCAGCGAAGCGCACTGCTCTTTCAGAGTGGAACGCATTTGCTGCTGTGCCCCAATTATAGACTTAGCTATTCATTATCGTGTGCTTTAATTGCTTTAGTAATACGTCTGGTAACATTTTACTTTATTTCATTATCTTTTTATAAACACAGAGTGAAATGATGTCCTCTGTCACGTCTGTTTTTTTTAAAAAACAACTATTAATTTGTTTTTGTCGTCAGCTCTGTAATGACATTTTTTAGTTTGTTTGTTAATTTCTTTTTTTCTGCTTTCTTTCTTTTAAATTGGTGTATTGCTGGCTTAATCCAGTGGACTGCATGGATCCAACATGTTCCAACAATGGCATCTGTGTGAACGGGGAGTGCCACTGTAAGCCAGGCTGGGGAGGACTCCACTGCGAACTGCCCAGGGCCCAGTGCCCAGATCAGTGCCATGGACACGGTGCCTTCATACCAGACACTGGGCTGTGCAGCTGTGACCCCAACTGGATGGGACCCGACTGCTCCATGGGTGAGTGTGATTGTAAAGCTGGTTCAGCTGCGAGAGTCAGATACATCGGGTAAAAATGGAGGTTGTGGGTTTGAAAGTTGGAAAGAAATAACTGCTGATTACCCTTTGTCCAAACATATTTCGTGGTCCCAGTATGGCTAATTAGTTTGCCATTTTATTTCATACTGTTCCGGTTTTCGAGCTACACTTGGACCAAATCTACCAAATCGTAAAAAAAAAAAAAAAATTACAACATGCTCAGAAACAGGGTACAACAACTGTTGTGGTATCGAAGCCAAATTGGAACATGCAGGAATAAAAATGTGGCAAGTTTGTACTATCTAGACTATATAAAATTATCTCTCTCAGTAGACTGTCAGTGACAGTATGGTAATGACAGATTTTTATGGTTATCAGGGTAGTGCTTAAAATCCTAATTTGGGAAAGGCAGAACACTTTTATTTATATACCAAACTACAGTACTCTGGGTTTTGCATAAAAGGAATATGAATAAAATGACTCTGTCCCTGTGTTCAGACACATATTAAACATGGCTGGGCTTTCAGAGCATGTATAAGTTGCATCTACGAACCAAAAGCTTGGGCTTCAAACTGCTCGAAACTCCTTAATGATCCAAATACGGTCATGTCGGATACACTGCTCTGGCATTTGAGTGCAGAAGCCCCGCCCACCTGCTGTTCAGACCTGCTGTTTATAGGGTCAGCCAATAAGAAAATACAAGCACTGGAAATTTATAATGTTTAAACAAGGTAGCTGTAACACATCTCAGTTCAGGCCAAAGTAAAACTTTTTTTAATCTTGTAGACTCGAAAGACTGTATGACCCAAGAGGTATGATTAGGCTGCTTTCAGTGAGCTACTCAGAAATGAGGTAGGAATCCTAACTTTGTTAAGCCTTCGTGATTACTATCAGAATTTTTTTAATTGGTTATGTATTGCTCTGGGAGCCAATTCTGTGATTCTAGTACCGGGGAGATAATGACATGCTAGTTCCAAGGCTTTCATAAGAATGTATTGGAGGTGTTCTTGCACTGCGGATAGTAACACATACAGTTTACCAAGATGGGATAGGAGGTTTCACAGTTCTTTATCTCAATAAAATGAAGCCGTTAAGCTTCCACTTTAGAAAGTAAGACAGCCACCTCCGTCATGCCAGCCTGGGAACGCTTCCTCAGGAGCACGACGAGAGCTCCAGCATTTGTTATGAGAGAAGCAATGCTTAACTTTAATAAAGACAACATTGTTTCACACTGCAGGATCCCTCAGCAAGTGTGTATCAAAACGTCTGTACATACCGCGTTCCCTGCACACCAGGGGGTCCTGAGCACACAAGCAGGATTGTCACACTTCGCCACATGCACTGTCGCCGACTGCAACATCTGAGCCTCTCAGACAGCGACTGTAATAGAGGCTCAGGAAATAAACCCTGTTGTTGCACTACTATAACTACTGATTTTAATTAAAAATACATGACAGAGAGTTGTGTTTTCGTGTAATGTGGATTTGATTGTTTTGAAGCTCAAGGTTCTCTCTTTTGGCACTTGCCAATGTGATTTGAAATCAAATGCAGACACATTTATGTTTTCTAGCTTTAAAAATTGACTAAAAGGATTGAAAATGACGTTTTTGCAGATATTTTTTTCAGATACCACCATATTTTAAAGGCATTTCAAGTTAGGAACTGGTACTTTGTAACATTTGCTATTATGTTATTCATGAAAAAGCCCATATATGTATCTGAACAGCGACCCTGTTCACTGCCCAGTAGTGTTCATTATGAATACATACAGTCATGTGTTCCTGTGAAAAACTAAGTGCACCCTTACTGCTTCCATTGGAGTAAAGAGGGTAAGTAGCAGCCTGGAGCTGCTAATCAAATGCACCTGATTAATTGATAAATATATATTTTTGATCAATAATGATCAAATATAAGCACGTCTATAAAAGCACATGTTTTTGCCGTTTCCTGCACTGGAGAATTCAGATCTTCCCAGGAGTAAGTGTCTCAGCAAAATTACCTCAAGGTCACATCATGCAATGCTTAGAGGAATTCCAAAAAAAACTAAGAGCTACGTCTCAGACTCTGCAGACCTCAGTTAACATGTTAAATGTTAAAGTTTGTGAGAGTACAAATAGAAAAAGACTTAATAAGACTGAACACTGTGATTGGCCTATTTAGAAAGATTGCCAGGAGAAAGCTTCTTCTCTTTGAAAAGGATATGGCAGCACAGCTTAGGTTTGAAAAGCTGCATCTGATCAAACCACAAGACTTCTTGTGTCTTTTCCACTGAAGAATGTCCTTTTCAATTCAATT